AGGTTGGTAATTCTATGTAATATAGCGACGTTGTTATATAATACTTAAGAAAGCATGTAATTTTTTTTGAAGTCAAAACGAAAACTTTATTCATCAATTTGCCAAATAATGTGAGAGACACTATTTTAGTACGCTATCGTTTTTGATATCACATCTTCAATCATCATTTCTGCCGACGCAAATGTGTTCATACGTCTACCAACGTTGTTCGTCCTTCAACAGGTCAGTCATTACTACATACTTTGATCTTTTCTATGTATACTAGATGCCTACACTTTTTAGTATCACATACACTATGAATTCATTGATTTACTAAATTTTCGCTTTGAACGCTTGGAACAAATCGTGCTATGCGTCCATGAGGCTACATCCATTATTACTTGTCATGCTATTGAGCTTTATGTATTTGATGTGCTGGTTGAATTAGCAGCGGGAACGACACAAGAAGCACAGAAGACCACATATCAGACAAGGAACGATTCAATCTTCCTTCACTTCACTACCTAACTCTAATGTGATTCCAAAGCTTTGTTTTCATGAATTCTGGATTGACCAACTACGAGGCTTCTATTGTACTGAATACAAGTACCAGATGAAAACGGGTGTTTGCCGTCACTCAGTTTGATGCTCGTCGTGCATTCGTTTGCTGGGATGAACCAGCTTTATAGACAACATTTAATATATCTATGGTGACAGAAACTAATCCTGTCGCGTTATCGAATGCTCATGTTGTCGAGACACCAGTGCGACCGAAAAGGAAGGCTCACATTCGGAAAAATACACGTTGGGATGTTGGGCAAGTCATGGAAAAGGTTTGGGAATTGGCAGAATATGTCAACATACCTTGTTGCAATGGTTGTTGGGGAGTTTGATATGATCTCGAATTCGACAAAAGAAGAAATTGTCGAGAGTGTATACACGGCACCAGAACAGAGCGCTCGAGGACGCGTTGCTATCGATGTGGCTACTAAAGCGCTATCATTATTCACTGAGACTTTTAGAATTCCATATCCATTGAAAAAATTGGTAATGGTGGCTATTCCAGAAATTATGGGTGTGATGGAGAATTGGAGACTTGTGACATATACCGAGATCGTTTTACTTGTAGATGAGAAGCTGAGTAGTTATGAAACTAAGGCAGATGCAGCGCGTGCAATTTGTCACGTACTATCCCATCAGTGGTTCGGATGTTTAGTGACAATGGCATGGTGGACTGGATTATGGCTAAATGAAGGATTCGCTTTTGA